TTAACCATACTGGGACTATTTAGAGAAGTGTGATACTTCAAGCCATGACTGTGTTCCAGCCATGCTATCTAGGAGATTATGTGAATAGACTTTCAGTACATCTGGAGTAAAGTGCTTTAAGCACTGAGATCAGTGGAATTCAAAAATGCATTTCACTGTCCTTCAGTGGCAAATTGCTTATGTAGAAAAAATAAAACTGAGGATTCCCTCAAGTTGACTTTGGCTTCTGGTAGCTACATTGGCCATAGCATTCAAGTGGTTTCCATTGTTATCTTCTGGGAAAGATTGATAGATGAATCAATCTTTTTATTCTAGCCTAATGTGGTTGTCTCTTCTCCAGGTTCTTTTTTGAGAGATGACAATAGGGAATAGGTTTTGGCATTTGAGCTAAATGCAGTGAAGAACAGAAAGACACAAACACTGACTCAGCAAAGGGTGCTTTATGCACTTAAGTATTTTTTTTAAAAAATAAGTCTGCACCATTCTTTAGATGATCAGAATTCTATTTCTTCAAAGCAAGGCTATCAGCATATTTGCTATGGTTAAAAAACTCTCCCAGAAAAAAGAAATGGGCACTACTCATCCTTGTCACATTGCAGCCTATCAAGGCCTGCTGGCTTCCAGATGCACTGAACTAGAATTCTCATGATGCCCATCCCATTTTTGGATGATGGGCATTATAGTCAAAATCCTGGAATTTCCAGACAATTACTGCTCAGAAAAGATAGCTGTCCTGTCCTTTAAAATGGAAGCAGAAATAACTTTTGAACAATAGGAAATGTGACAGAGCCTTACAACCTCCCTGTTCAGATTAGGCAAGATTTATCAGTCTAATAGAGAAGCTCTTAGCACCATTTATGCAATGGTAAAATAAATGCCTATTTCCTATGGGCAAACACTGAAAGCTTCATGCAAATGCACGTCCCTGTGTGCAGTTCTCTGAAAAGCAATTCATTTTCAGGGAACTTTTTCAGACTTGAATATTGGCTTAGGCAGGGCAGACAATATGATACCTCTCTGTGTAAGGTAATGAAACTGGACTTGGTGTCTGCATCTGAGAAAAGTAGTTGCAGCCAGGCAGAAACAATTTCCACTCTCAGTTCATCAAGGCTAAACTCATACTTTTTTTCCCAAAGGGCAGTAAAAGTTTACAATCCTAGAAATTTGAAGGAAGATGGATTCATTCATTCATTCATTCATTCATTCATTCATTCATTCATTCATTCATCCTTATACAGTTTACTCACAAACATCCAGGTTGGCATTCTAGGTGTCTGGCTAATTGAGACATAGGCAGCCTCGCCCCATCCAGGCCCTTAGCTTGCAAAGGGGGGGGGGATGTAGGAGAAAAGAAGAAGACAAGAGGCAGATGAGCAAGTGGGAAATAATGTCTGAGAATGTACAACTATTATGAGCAAGCAAGAGTGCTGTCAGTCAACTGCTAGGACCACAAGCTACCGTAAGCAGCCCATTGTGATATGATTCCAGCCTGGAACCTGGCTTGGACATGAGGAGTAGCTGCAGTGAGGCAGCACCTAGTCCAAACACACCTAAGAACTTTTGGAGGGAGGCAAAATATGCCACTTTACAAACTTTAAGACTTTTATTTGTTATATTTATTCATTATACCATCAAAGATTTATTTATGTAGCTACATTAACTGGGAGGGTGGAGTGAACCTAGAGCAGAAGTCTATTGTTAGGGAAGGTGTGTGCCACTAAAATGTTGTATGCAGCTATCAGCCATGCACTGGTTTGTCCAGTCCTTGGAAAAAAAAGAACCTCACACTATGCAAACTTTCTTGAGTTTTTTTTTTGTATTCTACCATATGCGTGCAAATACATAAAGGAAGAGAGTAAGAAAGAGCCAGAAAAAATCCTTATTACATGAACTTCAACGCATCTTTCAATTCTGCACATTTACTCATACTTTCACATAATACCACATAGTTTAGGAAGATCTCGCAAAACTGCTACAAATGTCATGGCTACCACTTTTATAAGACATTATGCAAGGTGCATTTATTTCATTTATTAAGATAAGATTAAGACCTTTATTGTCATTTTTTACTGTGGGCACACTGGCACACATTAAAAATGAAATTCTGTTGCTTGCTCTCAAAAGTGTATCCGTACATAACACACACATAAACATGCTATATGTGTATACTTACATATGTGTATACTTACACCCTTACATATAAATACATATATTAATCACTGTCCATCTTGAATACACAGCAGAAGGAGGAAGCTTAAGAGTTCACAAGGTCAATACTGTATGGAACAAAACTGTGACTGAATCTGGATGTTCTGCTTTGGATACCATGAAACCTTCTCCCAGGTTTCTCTCATTCGATGGAGAAAATGCAGACGTTGCTGTGCCTGCTTCACCAGTGTCTTGCTGTTGAGTGTCTTGCCAGCCTACTCGTTAACTGCACACCCAGAAATTTGATCCTGGTAACCATTTCCACAGTTGGTTATATTTTATTAAATTTATATACCACCCATTTGACTATTATATGAAGAAATTAAAGGGGAAAATCTGAACATTCACAAAATAATCGTTCCACAGTTCTTTGGAGTGAAATCCACCCTCCACTATATGTGTGGTTCCAATAAACTATAGAGGTAAACCCAAGTGGAAATTGCTAACAACCCCTACAGGCTTGAGCTAAATACACGAGACACCTTTCAGCCATCTGAGTCTATATTTAGCATTACTTGAAGTGATAGATTTTCTACAGAATTACTTTCCTTGTGTTGATATTTAATATCCAACCTTGGCTGCCTCCTCCCATAGTTATATTTGAGAAATACATCTATATGAAGACAATGGGACATTAAGGGGGTGGGATGTCTGGGGAGGTATGGCCACCCTCCCAGCTGAGCAGAGCTTTGGTCCTATTTCTCCACAATAAGCCTCATCAAGTTTTCAGGTTCCTGACATTGAAGTGTTTTCTTTTTATATTTTTAGCTTCTAAGAAGTGACAGCAGAAGAATGGAGCCGAAAGCTGGAGTTGGCATGTTTCCTGGGCAATACAAAGGGCATAGGGCTGGTTTTTATTGTTGTTCTGCTAGACCGTGGAAGCTTTACAATGACTGTGCTGCTGTTTTGCTTAGGAAAGGATTGTAGCACCTTCCCTCTGCTCACATTGTTTTCCTTTGCCTTATGTGGTGGATAATTTCTGGAGCTGGATGATAGATGTATGAAAATTACTGGATAGAACAGAGGATGGTGAGGTTCAGGTTGGGTACCGAGGAGTAATGAGTTTTTCTTCCTGATTTTGTAATAGAACAGTGGTTCTCAACCTTTCTAATGCCGCGACCCCATAATACAGTTCCCTATGTTGTGGTGACCCACAACCACTTATACATCACCGAGTGCCAGGGACTTGGCCAAAGAAAAGGGGGAAAAAATGGTGGACAGCCTTGTTTGGCGACCCCCGTGAAATGGTCATTCGACCCCAAATGGGGTCCCGACCCACAGGTTGAGAACCACTGTAATAGAAGGTTGAATGAATGAGAAATTTCCTGATGAAATGAAGAATTGGAGAACACATCTCTTTGGTTTGGTCTCACCATCTTTATAGCCATGAATCCAGCACTTCAGCAAATAAATTGAAAAGTATCGCTTTATTTAAAACAAAGTTATATAGTGTTCTAGACAGTGTGGGGAGATATAACTGATACAGAAAGTTGAAAGATTTAAACGTGAGGACTAAAATCTCTGAGCTCATGTGGCTAAAAATAGAGATTTCATGAGTATATTGTTTGAAACTAGAATATTAATCACATGCCTGACAAAGTTATATACTATAAAGAAAGGTGTTATCAATCACACCCTCAAACAATCAGCCAGTTCAAGAACCAAATAAAATATGTTGAACTCAACCAAAGAGATAAATGATAAAAACAAGGCTTACCCAAAGTTTTAAATAGAACTTTTGATGGGAACAATTATATGAATACATTGGATTTGCCTCCTACATATTTCACTCATTAATAAAATTCCTATAGCTAAGAGGTGGATTTATAATAAGGAGCCTCAGGTACTATTTTTGCAGCCTAGTACTTTCTCGGGCAATTTTAACCCAAATTGCTTTGTGCAAGAATGCTAGATATGGAATATAATTTAATATGCAATTTGGGGCATGGAAATTATTGCTGCTCTAGTGGGAATAAAATTATCTTTTCCCCTATCTAATTACAGGAAAAGTGTATCTTAAAAAGAACAAAAAATAAGCTATTACATACAGTACATCTTTAAAGTATTCAGGAATCTTTCCAACATATATCTCAAAACACAGACAAGTGTGTTTCTAAGCTATAGGATAGCTCTGAGAAATTTGGCTAACTCTTAACTGTGATGTGAAAGGTATTGTCAAGGTATACTATGAAATATGTACTGAGAAGAAAACTGTAAGGGGGGAAATTGCATAAAGTTTAAACACAAAGGTAGTCTTTAATGCAAAAAAAAAAAAATATGGAGCTAAAATGAATATTTTTAATGAGAGGGAAGCCAGACTGCCAGAGTTTTTTATTTTCTGTAATGTTGATCAGCCTGAAAGGTTATAAGCTGGACAAAGTACACGATGAATCAAAGGTTCATATAAAACAGCTGCAAGTATAATAGACAAAGAAAGGAGGGAAAAAAGAAACCAAAAACCAAATGAAAAAGAAAAAGAATGTTACTTGAGAGAGGAAGCCAATATGGTTTTTAAATGTGATGATTATTCTTAGAACTCTGGAATTAGTTGTTTAACATATTTATTGTTTCTTGCAGTTATTCTGTATCTGCCTAATAATTACTGTTTGGGTCCAGTTCTTCCATATCCTTCAGCATCAATCAGACATGACTTTAGACCATTTTGCAGACAACCATCAGCTATGATGGATCTTCTCTACACTTTTGTCTGAAAGATTGTCCCATCCCGATCCAGTTTAATGTTCCCCAGTTGCCTATCAATAGCAAGCACTGGAGGGCAGGTTAATAAAGGACACAGGACATCTAGTCGTAATCTTTCCCATGAGGTTAAATTGTAATACACACCCATTGAAACGAAAGTAATTATTTCCATTTTGAATATCTGCTTCTCAATTAAAATATGCATTCTATGCATCTCCATTTCCATTGCAAGTGAAAGAATGCTGTAATTTTTGCCTTAGCAGTTGCAGTTTTCTCTTGCTCCCTCCTCCTCTACATCCTCTCAACTCTGTTCCTGGTTATTGAATATTCAATTGCCTCTTTCTCCAGCTTGATCTGTGATCCTTTAATCCAGCTGCCCTAGAAATTTTACCAACCCAGATCAGCTCAGATCTCTCTCACAGATTAAGTCAAATTCCTGAAAGGTTTGCATTCTTCTTTTTCAACACTTTTTTCTTTGTCCTATTTTTACCCTTTGAACAATTATGCTAGGATTTGTTTGTTTATGGGAAATTTAGGACAAGCCTCTATGAAATAAATGAAGGCAAAGGAATTCCAGTAAATGTAATAAGGTTGCTATTAATAAATACCTTCATTTTATTCTTAAAATTTCCCCTAATTTAGATTAGCAATATATTCCAATAATCAGCAAAAATCAGGACTTCATTTATACTAGACGAGCTCTAGTTAAGCAGTATTCTAAATCTCATTCTTTTCCAGCCTGTTCATTACACCTTCTCCTTGTTCCTAAATTTTGTATTTTGATCTATCTTTTCTTTTTAAATTAAGAACATTAACCGATTTTAAATAAAATACGTTAGGCAAGCTTCTTTGAGGGCATTTGCTCATAAATGGGATGTACATCTCTGTATTAATATGTTGCATATACATTTTACAAATTACAGCAATATTTCACAGTGTGGTATGAACAAGGGAAAACCAGCATTATTCACATTGTGTTATGCATTTACTTGATTGAAACAATATTTTCCCTTTTCTGTTTATATTCATTTCATTTTTGCAGTCTCTCTGGAATATTTTAAATGACATTCCCTCTAGGCATCATTCAAACGGTTCCTTAGAAAATCTGCCAGCACTGTATCATTACCCTGAATCATGTGACTCTGTTTACTCAATCAAATACACAGGCCTACTATAAACACTTTAGAGAGTAACTTGATTGTGCCCTTGGGCCTCCTTACTTTGTGGATTCTGCTGCTCACACAATGTTGATGATGCAATACATTTTTTTTTATCTCTAACAATTAGCAGCAGTAGAGATGTCCATGGAAACCCAGGGGAAGCAGTTAAGAATGGAGTTATTCCAGAAACAAATTTGTGGTAAATGCCCCCATATCATTTTTATATGATTTTTATTGAAATTTTTAAAAGAGGAGATTAAAAACTAATATAAGGATAAAAAAGAAAAGAAAGCAAATAGACCTAGAATGAAAGCAAAAAGTTTAAGAAAACAAGAAACAACATGAGAAAAAGAAAGAAAAAAGATACAAAGAAGTGGTTTCTGATATTCCTGTTATAAGTGCAATTATATTTTAACCTCCCTCTCTAATGCAGTGGTTCCTGGCCTTTTCTATACCCCGCACCCCTAGAACACTTCTGATATATTCTCGCACCCCTTACAAAAGTTTGAAATAACGGCAATGAATTATGCATATACATTTTGAAAACCCAAATTTTCGCACCCCCTGGAATATTGTATTGTATCCCCAGGGGGTGCAAGCACCCCTGATTGGGAACCCCTGCTCTAAAGTTACATTATAATACTCTTTTTTAAAATAATCTATATCAGACATGTCGAACACAAGGCCCGGGGGTCTGACGTGGCCCGCAAAGTGGTTTCATGTGGCCCGCAAAGCCATGCTGGAAACAGTGAGGGAACGGCCTCTGCTGCCTTGGCCCTGGCCCAGGCTGGCCAGGAGCCAATGTACAATTTTGTGGTGGCCATCTATGCTGAAATGCATTCAGTCTTAGCTCCACAAGGCCATCTGGAAACAGCGAGGAACCAGCCCCTGCCGCGTCGGCCCCACCCCCTGGGTGCATGCTGGGGAGGTGTCACCCATTGTGAGGAATGAAGCAATGCACCATTGCCTGGAAGTGGCCAGCAAATGGCCCTTGCCTACTTCACATATCCGGCTTGATGGGCACTGCTCTGGTCTGCCAGAGATCCTCAGATCTGTTCTACTCCTGCCCAGGCCCCACCGTCACCCTTGACGTTAATGATGTAGAGTTGGCCATGCCTACCCAGTAGGCCACACCTACTCCATCCATGCCCACCCAGTAGGCTGCACCCACCCAGCCCCCCAAGGGCAAACGCAGTGCTGATGCGGCCCTCATTAAAATTGAGTTTTACACCCCTGATCTATATTGTCAGTTTTTTAGACAATATTTTTTTTAGCTTTTTTAAGCATGATAAAAATGTTCCTTCATGTTGTTCACATTTTCAACATACATTTGAAGCACCTGTATTTATTCTAGATACTTTCTCTGGCATCAACAATGCATCATTTTATAAACATTCTCTTTCAGATCATAACATATCAATTTCAACCTTTTTAATCATGTAGTTCCATATTTGTCTATCTGTATATTATAACCAACATTCTTAGTCCACTTTATCATACATTCTTTAACCTGTGCTTCTTCTATTTCATATTTCACAAAAATATGTACTTTTTACCAATTATATGTTCATCTTCAGTGCATAATTATACTTTCAATTCTGTCTTAGCATACATATTTTGTTCATTTTGAGTCTTTCTGATAATTGTAAATGAGAAATCCATATAATTCTATCCTTCTCATGGAACAGGAGCCATAAGTTTAAGAGGGCCCTCAGATTGGGCACAGCCATAAGTCTAGAAGGACCCTCAGATTGCATCTGTCTGGGACAGTGCAGCCCCATTCAACACCAAAGATGCCATAGTCCCAAAATCCAGAGCCATTCAATTTGCCAGAGTTCAACTGAAGCTTGTTGTTCCCCATCCAGATCCTCACAGCATCCAGACACCAGAGAGCACTACTTAATTTACCAGGGCCAGAGATATATAAATGGGTATCATCAGCATACTGTTGATACCTCAAAAGAGCATAGTGATGAAACTTCACCACATGGCATTGGATCAGCTCACTTAGTGGCCTCATGTAGATGTTAAAAAGGAGAGGAGAGAGCACAGAACTCTATGCACTTCTCCTCCCCAATCATCCTCAATTAGAATAAGAGCCATGGTGGCACAGTGGTTAGAATGCAGTATTGCAGGCTAATTCTGCCAACTGCCAGCAGTTCGATTCTGACCAACTCAAGGTTGACTCAACTTTCCATCTTTCCAAGGTCAGTAAAATGAGGACTCAGATTATGGGGGGGGCAGTATGTTGACTCTGTAAACCAGAGGTCCCCAACCTTTTGGGCACCAGGGATTGGTTACATGGAGAGAGGTTTTTCTATGGACCGGAGGGGTTTTGTGTGCTGCCTGCATCCTGTGGATGGGGCTTTCCTTGTTTATGTGGACCAGTTGCTGGCATGTTGTGGCCCAATACCGATCCACAGACCAGGAGTTGGGGACCCCTGCTGTAAATTGCTTAAAGAGGTTATCAAGCATTATGAAGCAGTATATAAGTGTAAATGCTATTGCTATAATTCCCAAAGGAAAGAAACAAACCAACACAGAATCATGCCACCCACCCACCCTATCCTCTGAACCGATCCAGAAGAATACCATGGTTGATGGTATCAAAAGCCACCAAGAGGTCAAGTAGGGCAAGGATGGATGAACTACTCCCATCTCGTCCATGCCAGAAGAAATCCAAAAACATGACCAATGCTGTTTCTGTAATGGAATGGCTTCTGATATTTTTCACAGCAGTTATAGGTACAATTATATAAGTACAATTATATTTTAACCTTTCTCTCTAAAATTCATCATAATACTCTTCCTTTTATAATCTGTCCAGTCTAGTCATCAAAGTCATAAATCACAAGTATTTTTTTTTATTTTTAAGCAAAAAGTCGACAAGATATTTCCATCAATTAATTTAGGTAGTGTTTTTTTTTTCTAATCAAAGAAGATAAATCATCCATCTTGGCAAGATCTGTCAGTTTCACCAATCATTGCTCCTATGCTAATATGGGCAGTGTTGAATCTTTCCATCTCTGTGCATGTAACAATTTTGCCGCAGTAATCATATATTGAAATAATTTTCCATGACTTTTTTTTTCTAATTCTTTGTCCATTAGTTTAAAAAGAAAAGTTTTGAATGTTGATCTTTAAAATCCTCTGAATGAAACTATTTTTGAATCCATTGTAAGTTTTTGAATAGCCATAAAGCATGATAAAATGTCCCTTTGTATTGTTTACATTTCCAATATACATTTGAAGTATCTTTATACATTCTACATAATTTTTCTGGTGTCACATACCAACAATGCATCATAACACAATGTAAATGTCAACTCTTCTAACCACATATTTTCCCATTCGTCCAACTGTTTATTATAACCAAATATATTCTTTAACATTATTTTTTTTAATTTTTCAATCTAAATCTCTATTGTTTAAAAGTAAAAATCATCCCTTTCAATTTATACCACCTAAATGTAATTTTCTTCTGTTTAATTTTGTCTGTCAGAAAAAAATATTCTGTGTAGTATTCCATTTGAAATTTCCTTAAATACAATTGCATATGTATTATCAATTATCAATCTAGTGTTATAATTGCTTTATGTTTGTCTTCTTCCTGACAAAGTGCTTGGACAATTTCTTAATTTTGAAAAATGTGTACTAATTCTATATACCTTATCAATCTCTGTGTCAGTGTCATCCTCCTTCAAATCCATAAAATTAGAGACTTTACAATATTTTCTCTGATATCTTCTTCTTATTGTACAGAATTGCTTTAAAACTTAAGAAAACTTTTTTCCCAGTTCCAGTAATATTAAATTATTCAAATCTTCCTCCATCTCTCTGTCTTTAACTTCTATCTTACTTTTCAAAATTTCCACTTTGTCAGTAATTTGCTTTAAATCTCCAACTAGTTGTCCTACAGATAATTAACTTCTTTCACCTCTTTTTTATTCCTGTAGATCCTCCTTCCATTTCTTTTTCACCACTTCAGTCATCTTTTTGCAAACTCTTCAAACATTTTTGCAATAAATCTGGTGAAATACTCTCATTTGTAGTTGTTCTAGTAAAACCCTGTGTCCTTCTCCTAATTTATCAGCTTTTCTTGTAGTGGCCATTGTGAGAAAATGGAAGTATGTTGATTACTTTGGTAAGAAGTAGGCTTCTGGTTTTTTGTTTTTTTTTCTATTTTACTTCATTCTATTTTTAGCACTTTAGTCCCAATTAACTCTCCATAGTTGTGGTCTCATAGTTTATCTCATATTATCATTATATTTTTGTTTTGTAAAATCCACTAATTAAAAATAAACAATCAGCGTTCTTAAAAATAAACAATCTTAAAAATAAATAATCAGCATTCCTGCAAAGGTCCGGTCTGTTAGTCTAATTAATTTTGCTATTTTTAAAGGCATTTTGTCAGAAAAAAACTGTTGTTTTTTTTTTAAAAAAAATCACTGTCCCCATAATCCATTTAAAACTTTCTTGGATCACAATCTTGTTAAACCTTTTGCTTTTAAATTAAAAGGATTTAAATAGCATTTTCCCCCTATTTTTCATTTCAAAAAGAAGGTATTCAATCTCTGATCTTCGCTACCATTTGGAATAAAGTAATTAAGTCCAAAGATGTTTAAGAAATGAGGCTTTTGCTGGTCAAATGTCCATTAAGTCCACAGCAATTAAAGACATGTTTTAAATCCCTCTGTTCCCAATCTGTTCAGCTCACAACTGACCACAAAAACCTCAGTTCCCATGATCTTCTTGCAAGGAGCCCTTCTAGAGTTCAAGAGGCAATCTCAACGTTCTTACCTCTGAAGACATTTTCATCAGTTACCGTAGAAACTGGCTCCTACTCCCTGCTTGTGGAGTTGTTCATAGGTAATGCCTAACCCACCATTAGTCCTTATCTGGAAGGTACATATTTGTTTAGATTCATAAACCCTCATGACTTTCTAAGAAAAAAGACCTTAGAATAAGTAGTTAAATAAGAATAGCAGAAAAAATCAGCTGGATCAACACAAAGACAAATCAAGGTCAACATTCTGAGTCACACAGTGACAACCAGAAGCATCAAAAAGCTCATAAACAAGGGATGAGAGTGATGGCACTCTTCCAGTTGTTCCTAGCAAGTAGTTTGGTGCGTATGAACATGAAAGTATTATTATTATTTTTTAATTTTTTTATTGAATACAGAAGAAAAAAGAAGAAATTAAAAACATTGAACATGGTACATCGTCTTTGACATACATCTCCGTCTTGTCAGTCCATACTATACATTTAAATATATATGATATATCTATATACAGCTGTACATTCCTAGCATCTACCTCTACTTATATCTCTTCTGTTGACTCCATTCTTTTTTCCCTCCATTTATAGAATTTATTCCAGATTCAATAAAATTCTTCCTGATTTTTTAGTTCTTTAGTTATCTTGTCTAGTTCTGCACAATACATAATTTTCCTTATTAGTGCTTCCCCATTCGGTGCTTCCATTGTTTTCCACTTTTGAGCAAACAGAATCCTTGCTGCCGTTATCACGTGTACAATTAGATATGTATCACCTTTATTTATGTTTTTTCCCAATATTCCTAATAATAACGTCTCAGGTTTATATTGGATGCTTCGCCTAGTCATTTCTGTTATCCATTCCCAGACCGTAAGCCAGTATACCTGTGCTGTATAATGAAAGTATTATACTCTCATCAAGCCTTTGATAGCTTCACCCACCATTTAATTTAAATAGTTGGCCAACCAGATCTTTGGTAGCAATGAATTCCATGGTTTAAAAATACACTGTATAGTAAATGTGTATTTATTTTTATTAGTTCTGAATCTCTGTACTTGTAATTTCAGTGGTTGATCCATAGTTCTAACACTATGAGAGAGAAGGAAATAAACATCTCTCTGATCTCATTTTCCATCCAAATCTTTTGCACATATTCATGGTAGACTAGTTCTACCATGAAATCTTTGGTAGCTCCTTAAATATTTTCAATGGGTTTTTTTTGCACTTATTTCCAACTAAACAATATCCTTCTTAAGGAATGGTATCCAGAATTGTGTACAGTATTCTAAATACAATTATGTTAAATTCATATAAGAACATTACTCTTACATTTTAAATTTTCTTCCTAATGACATCTAGCACTAAATTTGTTTTTTTTTCTTGTAACTTACATACTGAGTTGATATTTGCATTATACAATCCACAATTCCAAGATTTCTTTCCTTTTTTTAGTAATGACCAATTGAGACCAGAAAGAGAATGAGGAAGAGAGCCACCATCAGTTTAGTACAATGATTAAGGAAGAAAGCTAGAAACTGGGAGATCATGAATTCTAGTTCCATCTTGGTGAACCTGGATGAACTTGGGCCAGTCCATCACTCTGCATCCTAAGAAGCAGGCAGTGGAAAACCCCTTCTGAAATCTTGTCCACAAAACTGCAGGAACTTGTTCAGGCAGTCATAAGGAATCATGCGTCCACATGTATGTACATACACACACACACACACACACACACACACACACACACACACAGAGAGAGAGAGAGAGAGAGAGAGAGAGATCCCGTGTACATTATTCCATATTTGCCATGCCTGTTTACCCCACTGATGGCACAAATCCTCTTTATTACATTGAATGTTTTAATTTCTTCAGCAAACTTGGCCACCTAGCTGATCACCTCTAACACCTGATGTTTATAAACAAGTTAGAGACGTCCCATATCGATAAAAAAAACTTTTCATCTCTCTTTTTTGTAAACATTGTTCATTTATTCACATTCATAAGACATTACTGTTCACCAATTTATCTTCCATTTATCTCCCCTCTGTTATGATCACAACCTCATGCATTTTAAGGCACTCTGTAAGTCTGATCCAAATTTCCTAGATCTTATGAGGATTAAAAAATACCATGTCTGAGTTATTAAATCAATGAATTGATTTTAAAAGGTGATTCTAACTAATTAAAAGGTGATTCTAAGTAGAATATTTTCCAAAATTTATTTTCATAAATGCAAATACTTAGAAAACAGTTGAAGAATACACCTTCTTAAAAGGGGCATTTATCTTCCCTGTCATGCAGGCAGAATGCTTCTGTTGAGACAGTGGGTAATACCACACATGCACTGTCTATAATGAAAAGAATATGCTCCTTAGTTGTCTAATCCAATTTGAAAATAAGATTACAATTTTAAAAAAACAGCTTTGTAGGTCTGTATTTGTGTGTGTGTCTTTTTACTGGGAAGTAAGTCTAATGACAATTCAGCCTCTTTTGGGAGGTCAAAAAGTACGGAATGAGAATTCAACCACAGCTACAGGAACTTGATGAGGAGATTAAAAAAATGTGAGGAAAGAGCAGGGTTGCTGAAAGTTTTGATTTGAACCAGTTAAAAGGCCAGGCTGGAACAGGGTAGAACAGCATTGGATCTTGATCTGGGAGAAACAGAGAAAAAGGAAATTTTCTGAAAGCTCATAAAGGTATTTGAAGAAGTACAGATAGTCTTCGACTTAACAACAGTTCATCTAGTGATCATTTGAAGTTACAGCAGCACTTTAAAAAAGTGACTTGTGACCATTTGTCACACTTGACTATTGCAGCCTCCCCATAGTCATGTGATCAAAATTCATATGCTTGTCAACTGACTCATATTTATGACAATTGCAGTGTTTCGGGGTCATATAATCACCTTTTATGACCTTCTGACAAGCAAAATCAATGCAGAACCAGATTTACTTATTAACTATGTTATTAACTTAACAACTACAGTAATTCAGTTAACTGTGGCAAGGAAGATCATAAAATGGGGCAAAACTCACTTAACAAATATCTCATAACATAAATTTTGAACTCAATTGTGGTTGTAAGTCAAGAATTTACCTGTATCTATAATAGAGCATTCAACAAATTAAAATTCAAGGAATATTGATGTCAAAGCAAGAACATCCAATGTTAGCAGAGTTTCATCTGTCAGAACTATGAGAATTGAATTTTAAAGGCACGACAGCTGATTTTTTTTAAAAAAATACTACAAATTAAAAAAAATAGAGAAAACACCTTCTCCCCCCCCCCCCAAAAAAAGTTTGGTCGAGAATAGTTTTTGTGTTGATAGCATTTTTGTTATAGGCCTGGTATGAAGTTATAGACAAAATATCATGGCATGTATGTGCTCCATCCTGATGGAAAGAAAAATCAAAGTTCTTCACCAATTGGTAAATGTTATGTTAAATTCTGTGATATGAAAAACACAGAATAGCAAAGCAGCAAAAGCTATGAATGAATCCTGCTCAAATCATGCATTTCTCTCCCAACTCTTACCATGCTGTGCTTATACCAGAAATGGATGTAGGTATACTGAGTTTTCTGGTTAGCTTATGGGAATAACTAATATCACAACAAGGAACTCTGACTCAGAAATTTGTTATGATAGCCAAAGAGTTTTCTCCATAACTTCATAAAACAGGGCAATTGAAATCAAGAAATGTAAAGGAAAAATAAAAGTAGATTTTTTTTGTGCAAAAAAAACATGTTTTAGGAGCTTCAGTTTTTCCATTAAAAACAAATTCTTATATAACTTATGATCCTCTTTACAATTCACCATTTTCCATGGTAAGCCCCTATGTCCCAATTGGTGGACATCCTTCCCATCTACACCTATATCTTGCAAATGTCATGGATGACCACTTCTAATCTATGTAATTTCCAATTTATTTCTGCATCTTGTAGACTCTTGTCTGTTTGTTTGATTAAAATAAATATTCAGGCCTTCCATATATCAAATTTAGAATCAACATTCTACACTGCTGTTGGTTGGTTATCACTAAAGTATGAAAGTACATAAAAGTATGAAAGTACACATACCCTGAAGCTAATGAGTGCGGAAACACTTCTGTAGTTTGCATGGATAAAACATTCACTCATTAATGACAGTGTTAGTCTTTCCTTTGAAGGGGAAAGTTAGCCTAAAGGATAACTAATTGTCTGTGTTAACACATATACTCTGAGCCTCAGTGTGCCTTCAGTCCTGCTGTGACCATCACAGCTATATGTTCCTCTCTACCAATTAAGGTCCTGCTTCTCTATAGTCTACTGTACACTAACCAGAAGCATCTCCCCCCCCCCACACACATGCACACCCCAGTATCTGTTAAAGTGAGAGAATTATTTTTAGAATAAGAGCAGTTATACAACAAATGAATTGTTTATCTATGTGCATCAAAGAAGAAAATATTTAGATAGACGCCTGGTTTATATATGTTGTGTGTTTGTGAGTGTGTGTGCACAAGTACACAACTGAAAGATGAGGCAGCTGAGATATTGCTGCAAATCCTTGTCAAAGGAAGTTGGCAAATCAAGCACTCAAAATATAACTGTAAATCCTTTTCCCCCCCACATATTTCCATAGTCAATGTTCTCTCTGAACTGCCTCTCTATTATACCATGAAACTGAGAACCTCCTTGCTATCAGTGGTACACACAGTTATATTACCAAGATTCCTTTTGCTAAAGCTCATCAACATAGTAGACAATATTAATTCCATTCACCCCCTTTTCTGCCTTCACTGCTTTCCACTCAGCTTCTCCCTATCCTAGGACTAAGAAATCTAGATGCCTTTTTGATATTTTGAAGCTTTCCCTTTAATTGATAACCCTTATTTTTTGTGTGTTTCCTTTCCAGATTTCAGCAACAAATGGATTTATCTCTTTCCTTCTCCCTTTTTCTTCCCCTCTCCCTCCCTTTCCCTCCCTCCCTACTTTCTTACTTTGTTTTTAACATTTGATGTGAAGTTCTGAAGCACTTTGAAGAAGGACTGTGAGAGAAAGTGAAGGAAGCCGCTGCATCCAGCCAGTAATGTTCCTGACACCAGGGCAGCCCTGCCTTGAACATGTAATCACATCATGCTGTTTTTGAAAGGAGGGAATAGAGGAATCAGACAAAGAAGATTTGTTGTTGATTATTTGGCTTTTGTTTGGTTTTGAGAATATACTCACACACAAGTATATTTTTCCTCTTGGAGTTCAGCATTCAACCTGATTGACCTCAAGAGCCAATTCCATTTCATAGACATCTCTCTATGAAACCAGGCACATAAGATGATAGTGACATCAAACAGAACTGGGGTGTTTATGCCCTTCAATTGTTAAACTTCAAGGGCATTTGTTGCTGTTTTAATTTTTTCTCTTAATTTTGACTGAGTTTGCTCCTTTTTGCCTATAGGGGGCACTGTAGCCCACCATGCTCCGTCTGGGATTCTGGGTGGCCACCCTGCTCTTTATTTTTGCTCCTGGGATAGTCCACTGTGACTGTTGGCTGATTGAAGGAGACAAAGGCTATGTTTGGCTTGCTATCTGTAGTCAGAATCAACCACCCTATGAAACTATTCCCCAGCATATCAACAGCACTGTGCATGACCTGCGGCTGAATGAGAACAAACTTAAGGTGGTGCTCTACTCCTCTCTAAACCGCTTTGGTAATTTGACAGATCTGAATCTAACAAAAAATGAGATTTCCTACATTGAGGATGGAGCTTTCATGGGCCAAACAAATTTACAGGTGCTGCAGCTGGGCTACAATAAGCTCACCAATCTGACTGAGGGCATGCTGCGTGGCATGGGCCGGCTTCAGTTCCTTTTTGTGCAGCACAATCTGATTGAGGTGGTTACTCCCAGTGCTTTCATGGAATGCCCTAGCCTCATCAGTATTGACTTATCTTCCAATCGTCTCAGTCGGCTAGATGGAAGCACCTTCACCAGCTTGAACAACCTAATGGTATGTGAGCTAGCTGGGAATCCCTTCAACTGTGACTGCAACCTCTATGGTTTCCTCATGTGGTTGGTAGCTTTCAACAATGTCACAAAAAACTATGATCGCCTGCAGTGTGAGACTCCCCGAGAGTTTGCTGGTTATCCGCTTCTGATGCCTCGGCCACACCATAGCCGCAATGCCATCACCATTTTCAAGTCAATGTGTGGGGATGGAACTTTTCCACCCATCTCCAGGATCAGACCTACACAATTCATAACAGATCCTCAAAGGGATCCAGACGACAATGCTGAAAACTCAGGCATTAGCCCAGGGGACTTCCTCTCTGTTGAACCTCCAGAGTCTTCCACCACTGATTCTTCCTCTAACCCCAGCATAAAGCTCCAGCAGGTATCCATCAACTCAGCTGCTTTAGTGGTGACCATTCCATTCCCTTTTAGCAAGATGTATGTTCTGGTTCAGTACAATAACAGCTATATATCTGATGTAATGACTCTAAAAAAGAAGAAGGAATCAGTCACTCTCACCCACTTGAAGGCTCACACAGATTATACATTCTGTGTTGCTTCAATCCGCAACTCCAAACGTTATAACCATACTTGCCTCTCCTTTGCCACAAGGAGTAAAGGGAGGGAAGAGCCAATACCCAGTACATCCACCACTACCCACTATATCATGACCATATTGGGCTGCCTTTTTGGTATGGTTATTATCCTTGGCATTGTTTATTATTGCTTGAGGAAGCGTAGGATGCAAGAGGAAAAACAAAAATCTCTCAATGTCAAGAAAACTATTTTAGAGATGCGCTATGGTTCAGATATTGATACTAGTTCAATTGTACATTCCTCACAGAAATTGGGAGAACCACCAGTCATCCCTGTCTCACGGATGTCTTCTCTTCCATCTATGATTGGAGAGAAGATACCTTCATCCAAATCTATGGAAACTGGCATGGAGACTCCCAAGGTCACCACAAAAGGCAATTACATTGAGGTTAGGACCAGTGGTGGGGATGGGCTGGACAGGTCACAGAGGGATGATGATCTGCATGAACTGGATAATGGCCAAGGTTCAGCAGCTGAAATCTCAACAATTGCCAAGGAAGTAGACAAAGTGAATCAGATAATCAACAATTGTATTGATGCCCTGAAGCTGGACTCCGCTTCCTTTTTGGGAGGAGGGGGTGGTGTTGATTCTGACATGGCTTTTGAATGCCAGTCCATACCAACCAGTTCTTCTGCTGGGTTGGAGCGACCAAGTTTTCTCTCTCCACCATATAAGGAGAGTTCCCACCATCCCCTGCAGCGCCAGCTTAGTGCAGATGCTGCTGTGACAAGAAAAACCTGCAGTGTCTCATCCAGTGGCTCCATCAAAAGTGCTAAGGTTTTCAGTCTTGATGTACCTGATCATCCTCCTTTGAGCAAAGCAGATTCCAAGTACATCGAGAAAGGAAGTCCACTCAACAGTCCTTTGGATCATCTTCCCCTTGTGTCCCCAGGTGCCATACACCACTTGGAAGTGAAACCTTACCATTGCAGTGAACACCGGCATTCCTTTCCAGCCCTCTACTATGAAGAGAGTGGTGACACTTTAAGCCAACGGGTGTCCTTTCTTAAGCCACTCTCCCGTTCCAAGCGGGACTCTACATATTCTCAGCTCTCACCTAGACACTACTTCTCAGGCTATTCCTCCAGTCCAGAGTATTCTTCTGAGAGCACCCATAAGATCTGGGAGCGTTTCCGACCTTACAAGAAGCACCACCGAGAGGAGGTCTACATGGCAGCTGGTCATGCTCTGAGAAAGAAAGTCCAGTTTGCCAAGGATGAAGATCTGCATGATATCTTGGATTATTGGAAAGGTGTATCTGCTCAACAAAAGTTGTGACTCCCTCATTAAAAGGAAGATAAATCGACCGTACAACAAATTAATGCCCTCCCCCACCTCACTGTGGAAAAAAAATCTGACAAAAGAAACAAACCATTTGTTAAAGTTTACAAAAAAAAAAAACCCACAGGGAAAAAAAACCCAAGTGAAATGAAGTGTCTCTATTGTGTTACAGGGACCATTGTTACTCCTTCAGATGGTGGGGAGGAGACTTTTCCTTTTATTCTATGGTGAAGAGAAGGGGGATGACTGGACTTGTAGGTAGCAGAGGCAGGAGGTAAGGGATGCTTACCAGGCATAGACTAAGACACTAACCATCATTTTTTGGTTACTTTTATTTTGTTCCACAAAAGGAAGTGATTTTACTCATTCCCTGACAAACGTGAGGGGGAGAGTGATCACTCTGCTTCTATATCCTTTCCTTTCTTTCCTGTGCTTGCCAGGATTTTTCAAATGATGCTCTAGTGCAGACAAGTCAAACTCGCAACATCATGTGACGTCGCAGAACATATCGGCACAGTTTTGTCATTGTTGGCTATAGGATGGGCACGGCTTCCATGTGACGCGTCCAACCCATGGGCCAGCAGTTCTAGTGCATGGGAGATAATTTTCTGTGAGATGTTCACATAAAGCTGGAGTAGCATTTCAGTCACCTAATTTTGTGTCTGGGGGGCATTTGTGTAGCAAATGTGCATTCAGCCCTCTCCTGTGAGTAGGCATGCTTGACCTATGGGAAAGGTCTATATGCTCTCAATGTGGATAGGCCACTGAAATATTACCTCGGCTGCGTTGATCATGGAATAGATTGAATCCAGACTTAGTCATGAAGGAGCAGACCAAATGGATATATTTGAGGCATGACTATATTGGGATTCAAGTCACTGATCCTTGTGCACTTATGACAACATTTAAAAGATCCCAAAGTCAAGTCAAAGATGTGACACACATTAAGGTTTCGTTCAGGATCTTCTGTGCTCCCTATTCCATCAATCTTTGTTGAGATTTGTGCATGCAAAAGCAAGAACAACATCTAAAGCTTTCTTTGCCTATCCTCACATGCTCAGGATTGTCAATTACTGTAGGCTGATGCAGGATATATGTTTTCCTTTATTAGGGAAAGAATTATGAGATGAAGCAGATATATTACAGAGTCTCTGTATTTTTTATACCCTTCATTGTTTGTCAAGAAGGGAGAGAATATTAGTTCTCAAGGAGTATCCCCACATTTTAGTAGAATTTCAGTTGTCTTCCAAGAAAAGTGAATTGTTCAGTCTGGCCCTGATCAAGAGGGGATGCCAAAATAAGAGCTTGAGAGGAGAGCAGTAGCTGCAATCCCTCTAAAATCTCAAGGAGTTCTAACTCCAAACAAACCTCAGCATATGGACTTGGGGAATAGCACACAACTCCTTCCCAGGACATACTGTGCTCCCTTACAGAGCTGAGTTCATCTTGGCTGTTTCACTGAAAATAACTGGCTGTGATCCATGACATTCCATGAGGAAAACATTACACCTCAGTGCCAGAATTGGACCTATATGATAATAAGATTGAAAACAATAGAATGCTGCAGAGGTTGGGAGAATACATCTTAGGGTGATCTTGCAACAGAAAAATGAAGGATTGCCTTGGGGCCGGGAAGAGTGGAATTCTTCAAGAAAACATTCTGTGGTTAAGCTAGACAAGGTAATGCATAGTGGACTAACAGACTTGCCAAGAAAGCATACAAATGGCATATGGATGGGAGGAAGGCATAGGTACTAGTTGATAGCATTGGTTAGCAGACCAAGTTCACATATTTTCCTACCGTCTTGCTGACATCATCTTTTCTCCATTACTTGGTTGGGGTTTTTTTTGCAGCTGCTGTATTCGTGTTCTGACCACTATATTTCCTTATATTTTGGGGAAGATATACAGCAGAAAATGATTCAGATCCAGTGATGAAGGGATGAGTTGAGTTATTCAGTTGTTCTCATGAGAACTTCAGTCATCATAGTTAAGGAGTTGGCACAGATAAGTAAATGTGCCTGGATGTATACATACATTCCAACACATTCATGTTCGTATATGGAGAGAACCATTCTGTGTTACCCTGTTTTACTATAAAGATTGAAATTATTAAGTATTTTACTAAGAAGAGATTGGAGTAAAATCCAGTTTTGATAAGGTGCACTTGGCTCCCAATGAATTCATGGGGACTTAAATCATGGCTAACTTATCCCATTGACTTCTATGGTATCAAAGTGATCTAATAGGCTAGAGAAAATCTGTTTTCTTGTATGAAGGGAAAAGAGGCTCCATGTTTCTAAATGTTTCTACAGCCTTTTATCTCTGATTTGATAAACTTTACCATGACAACGGATATGGCATATCTTTTCTCCACTGCTCACCCCTCTGCCTTGCAACAAGAATTCATGGGTGCAGCAAAAATGCATCACTAGTAGATTATCTTTCTCCCCTGGTGCTGGCCTATCTCAGAACACACCAACAAAGCACAAGCTGCCACAGCCACGGAATACATTAGCTATTTGTTTTCAAAGATTAACTCCATTGGGCAAGGACTTTCATAGGAGAAAACTCTTCTCAAAATATTTATGTTGGTAATATTGCCCTCTGAGAAGAGCCAGGGAAATTCTAGATTCAAAACACCAAACTGATTCACTTCCTTTTCATTGCAAGAAAATAAATATGCTTCCCTGAATTACACACTCAAACTGAGGATGGATGGGTGCCTTGCAGCCAGAACTAGCCTTTCTTCATCTTGCAAGATTTCCTCTCCCCAATTGTTCCCTGCAGAAAGACAGTATTAGGAATAATATGTGATGCTGGGTGACATGGAGAAGTAAACCAAGAAGCCAACAGTGTAGTGTGCATGGGAAAGAGTACCACATCCTTTCTTGGGAAAATTATTTCCTGAAAACAGTCAAAAAGTTGGGCAGCCATTATTCCTGGGAGGTCATGGGCAGATATCTTTCCTTCATCCTAGCTTCACTTCTGATAGACACTGTGCTTCAGCAACCATAGGAGAAAATCTTTCTCTTTACCAAAACAGTGAAGACAGAAAACTTAGTTCACAAATGGAAATGTCAGTCTTTTGTTAGTTTATATTAAATCTCAGGGATTCATTTATAATGAAACCAAGTGAGGACTATGATCCCAGAAAGGAATTCTTGGGTTGGAAATTCAGATATTTATTTTCTGAGGAATCCAATGAAGGACCCTGAGAAACACATTTTGTGAAGTGAAAGTAAATAATATTGGTGGATTCAAAAAAACCCAAATCCTAGTAGCTGAGGCTTATATCGGATATGGTGGGATTCAGCCAGTTTGTACCACTTCAGCAGAACTGGTAGCTAATTTTTTGTTGCCCAGGCCCAGAATGGACTTCCAGAAGTGGCATCCACACAGAGAACCGGTTGTTCACATATTTGAATCCCACCACTGGATAAATGTCTGGAATATGTTTTTTGAGGTCTATCTGGGATCCCACACATTAATACTTTGAGGGGAAATAATAATAAAAAAAATGGGCTGTGAGAGTAACTTGATGAATCCTAAACAAAAAGAATATATTAGAATTCTTTGAAAATTCAGCATTTTGAAGGATACTAACATCCGTCCTGGTCTTGGTGCATTTATTAAGAAATTGACATTTTTCACAGCCTTTTTGCATGCCAGCATGTTCCTGTATTGTGTGCTGTTTTGTCACACATTGATCACAGACTAGGGGATTCTTTTCAGTATGCTGGCTGTGGGCAAGCACACTAGGGCTGTAGGACATCATATGGTCCCATCCTAAAGTAAGTGGGATATCTTCCCTGTTGCTGTGTATTTCTTCCATGCTTGCCTGATCCTAGATAGACATAAGAGCAGGAACAAGCACAGTTTATGACTCCCCAAAAACACTAGGGAATGGGAGATAGAGAAGTGGAAGTAGGGTTGTTCAGAAGGACATTTTTAGAATATTTCAGCTGTGGCAAAGGATGTGTGATGGATTTTCTGGGTTGCTGAGGAACACTGACTCATGTAGAGTTAGAATATGAATCCTGGGTCATCTCGGTGCCATAGGATGGTCCAAATCTATCTTAGAATGCAGGTTGCTTTTTATATTTGAGTGGGATGAGAAACTTCCTGGGTTTTTTTTTCCATGAATGTCAGCTTCTACTGTAGAAACTGAACAACCAAAATTTCTTTCATTTCCTCTATTAAAAGGCATATAAATACCATCCCAGATAGGTTTTTGCAATCCTTAGGCAGTAAGATAATTTGCCTTTTGACTCGGAATCAGGGTAAAGAATGGTGATGGTGGATTAATGGTGCAAACAACCCTCTTTTCCATTTATACTGCTTCACTCCAGCCTCTGTCTGTCATCCTATAATCCCTAATGTGGTATAATAATATTTATAAGAGATTGGGATTTCTTTGTCACTGATTTCAGCTTTGCTGATACCCCTCTGAAAAGGAGTAGAATTCAAGATTCAGAAAAAAATGGTATTGGGACCATAGCCCAGTATCTTCCAGACGATGGACATTTATAGGCCATAAGTGATCCATGCCCTTTTTATGCCCTACAATGAAAGCCTTAGTCTGTTGATAAAGTTTGCACAAGTTGGGACTATTTCAGCAGGGGATAGGAGTAGAAAGGGGAGATAATAGGGAAATAATATTTTCCCTTTGCTTTTGTATCTACCACTTTCCTGCCACTATTTTCAGACTTGGAATAATTACAAAGTATACCCACAGTTGGAAAAGAGAAGATCTAAGCATTATATCTGCATGATGATTTAATTGTATTTTTCTGAGCAAAAACATCTTTTGTGTATCTGCTGGTTTGTCAAGACTAAACCTAATCATGCTCCTTTGCTCTTTCCTTTTACCTCACTCCTAACTTCCCCATATTTCCCTGACCACCATTGTGATTTGAAAACTTTGGGAGGGAATGGACTCCAAAGAGAACCCAAACCTGGTGCCACAACAACAACAACAACAAAAATAGCACCTCCCAGTCTAATTCACCTGCGGGTACACTGCTTTGCAAAACTCTCTGAGTTGGTTTCAGCTTGGTTAATTTTCAGAGGTTTGGCCCAATCCATTAATTCATGCTCATCCTGTAACAATTAACTCTCATAAACCTTTAGAAATGCTTATTATAGCAAGACCAAACATTAGTTCACTAGTTGGCTCTTCTGATGCAGAGGCAGATTTGTTGTTCAGGAATAGATTAAAAACTCACGTTTTAAGGATATCTTGGAAATGAAAAGGCTTTTTAAAGGCACCTTGGGAATTTGAAGCAATTTGTTTACATGAAAGTCTCCCCTTGGACACAGTAGATTGATAATACTATAGTGTACATGACCTTGATAGCTCTTTATAGTGGAGATATGCACTAAATTAACACCTCATTTAGTTTCCCACTAGTATAGTTCTTCCTTACAAGTCCCAAAACATCTCTGAGGAGAGAATTTCTCCTAGAGGAAACTGGAGAAGAAACTTGATATTTCTTCTGGAGGGCTTCCAACTTGCTTTCATTGTCCATAATGTTAACTGTTATGGAGCAATAGACATTTTGTTTATCCTGATGAAAAAAGAGGGAAAGCCAGAGTTGGATTCTGCTCCCTTTGCTAGGACCTCTTACTTCACTGGAACAGAAGCATCAAAGTGTGTTTTCACGGAACAGATTCTGGATGCAGTCTGTCTTCCTGTGATCAATTTGGAGAAGAATAAGGGAACAACAAAGAAGTGGTCTTTCCATACTGAACCTTGTCCTGCAAAAAGTACACTGCTGAAGTTTTGATCCAATTGGAAGACACTAGATCCTAACTCTTGTAAATACTGCAGTGCTCTCCCAGCTTTATTTGCCAGATAATTCTTCCTGAGATGGGTGTGAAATATTCATGAATAACAATTGAAAATTTATGTAAAGAAATGCTGGCTGAAGCAGCACTGATGTGCTTGCAATGCTGAGTAGCTAAAATCTTTACTGGAAGTTCTCAAAGACAACAGCCTGGAGCAGATAGGAGGTCATGGGAAAGGGGCCTCCACAAAAAGAGAGAACATGGAGGGAGAGAAGGAGATTGGTTGGGGTAAAGAACACAATAGGAAGAGAAAAGAAGCAAAGGCTAAGAAACATAGAAACTGGTTTTGGAAACTGGACTAAATATAGGTAAAGAGAAATGTTTTTAACCAATAAGAGGAGTAAAACTAGAGGTGAAACTGCCTCACATTCTTCACTGTTCAATTCCTGGTTAATCCCACTGCTTTCACTAGAATAAAACTTTCATATAACATGATGTGGGCATCAGCTGTTTAGCCACATAATGTTGAGTCCCTGTCATGAACCCAGAATTTATTAAGATTGGCTTCAGATATAAAAAGTGGTACAATGATACAAAACAAAATTTGTGTATATTTTTCTAAAATTATGGCAGAGTTACCATCCAGTATACAACTGACTGGTGGACTGGAATCCTTTTATTATGAAAATGTCCGTGGACTCCTTGGTACTTTTTGTGCTTAGTGTTTGCTTGCAGGCATTTCATAACCCAACTATGTAACATTATCATTGTGTGAGAGGGTGGAGTTTGTTCCCTTTGTATCTACAGTAGCTTTGATTTCCAGTATTGGTGGCAATGTGGTTTTTTTCCTTGGTAGTTCTTAGAACCTAGTGATGATGTTACCTAGTTGAAAGATGAAACATCTGCAAAAAAAAGAGCCGAGCTTAGACAACACCAAGGACTGCACAGTTTGAGGATTTTCAAGTGTCCCTAAAAAGAAAAATATCAGCTGCCTCATCTAGTTACATAGATGTTCAATCTTGAGCTACATATATTCCCTTCTATTGAAAATGTCTTAGAATCTGCTGTAGTCTAGCCTAAAGTATGTATTTGTATCCACAGCCCCCCCCCCAAGGATCACTTCTCTCTTTCCCTCTATTTCACCATTTTTTACTCTACTTTCTATACTACTGGGCCAAATAACAAATACAGAGCAGAATTTAAACAGTTTTGCCTGAATTTGTGAGCACAAAGTAGTACTCTATTAAACGAATAGAGAAAGCTGGATTTAAATAAAGTTTAGTCCTTGAGAAGCCAGAATAAATTCCTGTCTATTTCTGACTGGAAAATATAGAAAAAACATCTTAGGAAAATAAAGCAGAAATGGTGATGATTTGATTTTGATCCTGAAGAATTATAACAAAATTAAATAAATAAAAAATTAATGTCATGAGAGCAGTACTGCAAAGAACCTCAAAATCAGCTTAACTGACTAATTCAAGCTCTTCCATGATTGCCTTAGATACACAGAAATTCTAACATCCTATATATATAAAAATGGTACCTTTTGCATCATTTCCCCAAGCTAATCTTAAGAATTCAAATAAATGCCCATCAGCCCATGCTGTCCTTAAAGGCTTTCCCTAAACCACCTGTCCACCCTCTGACTTAATCTTTACCACTGCTTACTTTCATGTGTGGTGGATGACAAGAGGAGAGAAAAGAGACTTTGCATCTGAATATCTTATTAATCCACATGTTAAGGCAATAGAGGCAGTGGTGGGATTCAGCCGGTTCACACCAGTCTGGCAGAACTGGTAGCTAATTTTTTGTTGCCCAGGCCCAGATTGGACTTCCAGAAGCGGCATCCACACAGAGAACCAGTTGTTCACATATTTGAATTCCACCACTGAATAATGGAAACAGTAACCCTCCTTGCAATGCATTGTTGCTCTTGGTACTATTGAAAGGTGAGTCAAGCAAATGCAGAGACATGTTTGGAATAATGGGGAATTATGGGGTGATTATTTGGTGACTGCAGAGATTAGTTAAATAGGCATAAGAAACCAGGGAATCTTCACTGGCTTTGTTTTAGCCTGAGACAGACCAAAAGTTCAGTGATAGTGGTTTTTACCAATTCTAAGAAAAAAGAAAGAATAGCTTATGGTGGGGTAAGAATAAAAATATTGAAAGTGGGAGAGAAAATATATCTGAAACAAAATAATCAGATTAGATTTCAAGTTAGCAGTGAAAATAAATATTTTAATGAGAGCTCCACTGGAATATCAGCACAGATAGTGTGCTAAATTGCTGAAATAGAAGTCTGGATGAAGAAGCAGGTATGAGTCTGGGCAAGAGCAATTTGGAGGGTTCTTGAAACATTGTGACCAATTGTGGGAACTCCCCTTAAATATAAGCTTATATATGTTAGATGGAAAAAGCATAACATGATGCAGTACATTATTCAGACAATATGGCAAGAGGAACTTTCCCTGAATTAAGCATCACTAATTCAGCCAAAGCTACTTGAGAAGAATGCAGCCACAGAAGAAAGAAAATCAAGAACAGTTATATCTGCTCCAGTTTCCTTGGCCTAACATGCAAAGGAGTAGCAAAGTTAGTGAACAGTAAGCTCATCTTTCCATGTGGAAAGTCCCATGTTTATATGGAGGCCACAATCCATTGTTCAACAGCCATGACGCTGCACATAAATAGAAGTGCAATCCTTCAAGGGTCAGGGACAACAGCCTCCCTAGAGTCACAGTGTATGAACTACAACATTGGGAAGTTGTTCTTTAATGAATTTCACTGTGAAGTATTTTGTACTGAATTTTATTTTTTCCTTTTTTTGTGGGGGGATATTTCCAGAGTTTGAGGAAAATTTCACCCCCCACTATGCTCTTAAAATCTTTGCTTTTAGGTACTTTGTGATGTTTTACTCCATGAAACAGATGTTAATTATCTTGAAGTATTTTCATGGACAGTCCTTCCTATTGCAAACTGGGAAAAAACTCAGCATCTCTCTGTTGTATCTTATTCACATTGAAGATTTAACTTCACAAGCTCCAGAGCATCAACCTTATCTTGAAAAGAGACTGCAAATGGGATATTTGTCCTCAAATACAAGTACACATTCTTGTTTCATCATCTGGATGGATGGATGAACCTCCCTAGATCAGTGTTTCTCAACCCTGACAACTTTTAAGATGTGTGGATTTAATTTATCAGAATTCACCAGCCAGCATGTTGGCTGGGGAATTCTGGGAGTTGAGGTTCACACATCTTAAAGTTGCCAAGGTTGAGAAACACTGTCATAGATTCTTATTTCTCCCATTCCTTATTTCCTCTATTCTTGACCTTTAATTCCTATGAATGTCCTTGCTTTCAGGTGTCTCCTACACTCCTAATCCTGTAATAAAGCCTTTCCGAGCCTGGTCCCAACTTGGACTGCAATTCTTAAAATTCTCAGTTGTTGGGAATTCAGGGAGTTGGAATCCTAAACATCTGGAGGACAACACATTGGGGCAGTCTATTACACCACAATATGTGGGAAAAGAGACATTTATAAAAGGGGTAGAATCTCAGCTTTGCCCTGCCACCCACAAGCACAGAATTGGGGTACAAGAGTGGGGGGTAACCCCTCCCCCAGTTTCTTTCTTGAGTCCCTCTTCTGCTCCCCTTGAATGTAATATACAATTTGAGGCAGCTGCCGGTTTGGGTCCTCACCAGCCACTTGGGTTCCCTCCTTCTGTTACAATCCTGTGAACCTTGGTTGTGTATGGGGATTTATTTTTGAAATTTGTCTTTATTTTAGGTTTAATTTTGATTTAATATATTTTTTTTGTTTCTCGCCACTCCATGTTTTAAACTGAATGGCACGACTTTTTTTTCCCTTGAATCGGAGATTCCTGTATGGAGAAAATCGATTTCTATATTTGCAATAAATTTCTTATTTAAAAAAAAAGATAAATGATTAAGTGTGGATGCTTGATTTTTGTTGTTCTCCATCTTGTCAAAAAAAGAATTTGTAGCTGATCACATTTTTTTTGTAGAATAACTTGTGAGAGATTAAAGACTGGCAAAAAGAAAGTATAATTAAAGCATAAAATTTACGATTGTAAGATATAAAAATAGCAATCTTTAAAAGAATTAGATCTATGGAGAGAAAAAAAGTGACAATGGCTTCATATCAAGATTAAGTGTTTAACATGAGGTAAAACGGAGATTTTTCTTCTGTTGAAAAATCTCAAAAGAAGTCAGCCACCTTGCTTCTTTACATTGCACTATATTTATTTTATTTAAAACAGTTATATAGCTACACATCTTATAACAAACTCTGGGTGGCTCCCAATATGGGAGAGGAAAATGCTTACTATACTTTGACTATACTTTAATTCTAAGACACAAAGAATTACAATTAAGCTCATAGAAACCAATGAACTTGAAGCACACCTATATTGCACTATGATTTTTTTGGATAAAAAGATCTTAAGATTAACTTTGTATTTGGAGACCAAAGAAGAACCAAGTGTATTGAATCTATATTCATAGAGTCTTGCTATCCACAAAAAGACTGCTACCACAAAAATAGATGTCATTGTTTAGCCAGCATTGTCCAAATATTATAGGATATGATTCTGAACTAATATCAGCCTCAGCTAGCACAGACAAAAGTAAAAAAATTGTGAGTTGTGGTTCAGGAACATCTGGAGGATCACCCATCCCTTCAACACATTGTAACATTTTTTTCAAATATGAGAGGTTGTCACATAGAAAAATAATATTTTTTCTTAGTGTGTCCATGAGACTTATTTACACAGGAAATGTAAGGTGTCATCTATTTGAAGAGCTGGAATCAAAGGCAAATAACTATACTAGAAAGGTAGAAAGCAGCACTAGCTTTTAAGTTACCCCTGATCTTTCAGGACCTTGATAGCAAATAACACTGGTTATCCAGTCACAATCTTTGCCACGGATTGATGTGTAGCATGGAAATTATAATAATTCTTCCAAAGAACATGCAAATCTGTGATTTCTTTAATCTCATTTTTGCTGATTTGTTTCCTTTCTATTTCCCATTTTGTAAGAGGCTGTCCTACTTCTCTGACACTCCAGGACAGGATTAAATCTCATAAATAAATATAAATTATACCAAGTTGGATAGCAGTTAAACATTAGGGGATATTTCCTGAATTAGAAGAAATATGGCAATTAATGAGGGTAATGTTGAGCTATCCTTAATGAAGATTTCTTAAACAAAGACTGGACAGCCAACTGCTGGGGGGTTCTCTCATTCTTGATTTCTTTCATTAATAATCTATAAGATTTCTTCCAATACTAACATTCAAAATGACAGAGTTTAGTTTGAAATACAGCTGAAAAAGACGCCATCTTGTATCTACAATATGTTGCTAAGGAACATACCTCAACTGAATGAAAAAGCAATAAAATATCTCTCAGTGCATAGAATATGCTCTGTCCTTCCCAACAGTGAATATTATTGCCAGAACAAATTCTACTTTTTATGGTTTACTCTCCCTTGACATTAGACAAAGGCTTCCTTTTAAAAAATGTTTATAATATAAACATTGCTTGCCAATACAATATAGAGACAGCATACCAACATGAGCTTCCCCACCTTCTTCTTTGGAGAATAGTTGGCAGGTCCTATGATCACAAGCTTTCAAAAATGATACGAGTGACAGTGTCCTTAGTTTTATTTAGCGCCTTGGTGTAGGTGTTGCATTGATTCAGGTGCCTCAATTCTCAGGTTTCAATGTAAAACAGGCCTCTGTTTTGAAAATAATTTCATCAGGTCTGAAGTGTCTTTTTGTTCCACACTACATGACTGGCTTTGTGTATTTTAGAAAGAAGCAGGAAGAAAAAGGATGCCTGAGTGACTTGACAATCTGTTTCCATTCTTTGAATATAATGTCTAGTGATTAGCACATTTCCATTTGGGGAGAAATGTGAGCACTAATAACTGAGTCAATCATTTTTGCAATACCAACCTGTTTTAGTGACTGGATCCCAACTTGATACCCATAGAGTCCTATGTACCTGCAAATACTTCCTTTGTTGCTCACCCAATACTTTAATAATCCATTCCCAAAATGATTTAATTTAAATTTTTTCTTCTATTTTATGTTTTTAAATGGGAATCTAGCATGCTATTGCAAAATGCTAATCTTGTATTTTTAAGAATATTGCTAGACTTTGTCTACTTTATATCCTTAGGGGGGAAAAAGATACATTAAACCTCAGATCCACCTTCCTTTTAAAAGCTGTTTTTACTCTTAATTAGAAGAGACAGATAGTATCTTAAAGCAGTTATTGGAAACACAATGTTCCTAGCAGTAGAATAATCATTTACCCTAAAATTGCCAAAAAGGTCATAATAGTTTAGTAATATCAGATGAGAGAATGTAACAAAACTACCCTCACATCTCCTCAAACATGCTCTTGCTGTGGGCTGCCTAGGAACATTGTGCAGGTAGTCCTCATGTTACAACCATAATGGAGTCTGCCCATCATACTTGTAACTCATGACAGTTGGTCATATGACTGACCAAATTTAACAATCTTTCTTGTCATGGTTGTTAAATGAATCACCATAGTCATTAAATGAATCCACAGTCATTAAGCAGACCAATATTTTCCTATGGATGTAGTGTTGCCCAAAACCAGAAGTTAATTCCAGTTTTCAACAAAACTGTTGTAAAATGCAGTCAAATGACTGTCAAACTGCAAACAGCCATAAATGCAACCTAATTGCCAAGAGATCGAAATATGTGACTAAGATGAGGGGAACCTACCTCCCAGGTGGGCGGAGCTTGAGGACGTAAGTCGAGGATTAACTATAAGTTCTATAAATAAATGAAATATGCATTCTGTGTAAACCATATAAGTTCCATACATAATATAAAATATGCATATTTGCAGTTTGTGTGGGACACCAATACCTATTGCACTAAGCCAAAATAGGTTTGCTAAGCCTAGGCTTAAAATGTTATTAGGTGGACGTATTACCATCTATGACATACAAATATCTATTTTTGGTCCCAGTGTTAGCAACATTCCAACAGAAGACTTTGTGCCTTCTCTTTTTGAGTAAATTTGCCTTTTGCATTATTAAACATTTTAAACTTATAGGATGATCCTTCTGTAGCCTCTGCAGGTTCTTAGAGACACAAGATTCTCCAGAGACCTAGAGAATATTCTTTCCTTTCAGGAAATATTGCATGACACAGAAGCCAAAGAATTTAAACACGTGTAAATAAAAAGAAATGACCAACATCATTTACTGTGCTTTTTCATACCTTTGTAACCTGGCATATCATTCTTGGTTCCATCACAACCTATACCCTGTTATCCACTGACTTTTGGTCATTAAATTTCTTGTTTCTTTTTCAGAATCTCACCAATCCTATTACAACGTGGGTTTTTTTTTTTTTTTTGGTCTTTCACCTTCTCAATCCATTTAATCTTCCTTCATATTTTTGTTTTGCAATTTGATCTCACTATAATGGTCACACCATTCAAAGCACTTCTTTCATTCTGGTCTGTTATTTTTATATTTAATCAACGTTCATTCAGCACCCATTCACTCTTGACTCTATCCCTTTTTGCAATTTCCTTTTTTTTGTTTTTCTGACATACCTAATTCTCTCACTTCATCATCAAGTGAGCAGAATGCCCTAGTATACAGCCATCTTTATTTCTTTTTTTAAAAAAGAAAATCATTCCTTGCAACAGACAATACACTATCTACCAGTGTGTGCATATTTTAAAATTCCCCTATCAAGTTTTTCCATATTTAGTTAACATTCTGGGGAGAGACACAAGAAGTTATTTACTTGTTCCAGCTATGTATAATTTGCAGCCATTCATTTTTCTGTCAAGCACAGTTACCTTGGGATTTTGATACCCTAATTTTCAGATCCATATGCCTTGTTGCATCACATAATTTATCTAACATTTGCTACAAATCACAGATTCTTAGCCAACAACATGGTATAATCTGCATATAAAAGACTGCATATAGTCACATCCCTGAGCAATTCACTTCTAATGTCACCACAAGCATTCATTATATATTTTTATCTATAAACACATTCAAAACCAAGGAGACATCATACATTCCTAGCTTACTTTCTGCTTAAGCTTCAACCATTCACAATTGTCTCTTTATTATTCTGCTTAGTCTGATGCATACTTGACTTCCATTTTATGCCATTCTTACCACCAAACTTCCATTCCATATTCATGAAAAATGTTACATAATTCAAACCTATTTCATTCAAATATATTTAACAACTTTCTCATTTACCTTCACACATTCTTCAGTGTTCTTTTTAAGAGCAGAATTGGGTTTATGTGCTCTCTGCTCAACACAAGGTTGTAATATAAGCCTGTCACTTTTCATATCTTTTCAGCCACAATTTTGCCCTCCACTATCAGACTTAACAACTAATTTCACTGCAGTTTTTGTATTAATTCTTGCTATTTTTCCATTCTTAGAGGGAAACAATAACAATTCTTCCAATCATCAGGTAGCAGTGCAGTCATCATACACTTGTTAAGCAACTTGAACAACCATACCATAAGCAAACACATCTATATTTTAATATTTTTTCACATAACATCTAATGTAACATTTATAGCATTACTATTTTTCAGGATTATATTTTGTCTTGTACACAATATGATAATCATTACAATACCATTCTGTAATGTTCTCTCATGCATTTTTTCTCATCCACAGCTTCTTTTACTTCATCATTCTACAAAGCTTCTTTTTTATATTTTAATTAGCATAATTACACACACCACTGTGACACTCTGTACTATAACTTTTTTTCTTTCTATTCCAAATAGCTTTAACGTTCTCTTTCTTAAACCCACTTTCTATCCATTCTACGTTCATTCATTCACTTCTTTTCTTTTCTTTTGTATCCATTTTCCCCAAGA